GGAGTGTGTCCCTGTTAGTTCTGCTGGACCTTCGATACCGTCGACCACGGTATCCTTCTGGGACACCTCACAGATATGGGACTTGGGGGTACTGCTTTGCAGTGGCTCCAGTCCTTTCTCGAGGGACGGTCCTAGAAGGTGTTACTGGGTGACACTGGTTCGGCCCCAGAACCGTTGTTATGTGGAGTCCCACAGGGTTCAATCCTGTCCCTGATGTTGTTTAACACCTACATGAAGCCGCTGGGGGAGATCATCCGGAGTTTCGGGGTACGGTGTTATCTGTACGCAGATGATGTCCAAATCTGTCACTCCTTCTCACCTGTCACCAAGGAGGCGGTCCAAACCTTGAACCGGTGCTTGGCCGCTGTGTCGGACTGGATGTGAGCTAACAAATTGAAATTGAATCCAGACAAGACAGAGGTCCTACTGGTCAGTTGTAAGGCCGAACAGGGCATAGGGTTACAGCCTGTGTTAGACGGGGTTCCACTCCCCCTGAAGACTCAGGTTCGCAGCTTGGGAGTGATCCTGGACTCATCGCTGAGCCTGGAACCCCAGGTCTTAGCGGTGGCCGGGAGAGCTTCTGCACAATTAAAACTTGTGCGCCAGTTGCGCCCGTACCTTGGGAAGTCAGATCAGGCCACAGTAGTCCATGCTCTCGTTACATCCCGTATAGACTACTGCAACACTCTCTACGTGGGGTTGCCTTTGAAGACTGTCTGGAGGCTTCAACTGGTCCAACGGACAGCAGCTAGATTGCTAACTGGAACGGCTCTCAGGGAGCATACAACCCCCCTGTGGCGCCAGCTCCACTGGCTGCCAGTTTGCTCCCGGGCACAATTCAAAGTGCTGGTTTTAACCTTTAAAGCCCTAAACGGTTCTGACCCAACTTACCTGTCTGAACGTATCTCCTCTTATGAGCCATCTAGAACCTTGAGATCGTCCGGAGAGGCTCTGCTCTCAGTCCCGCCTTCGTCACAGGTACGCTTGGCAGGGATGAGAGACAGGGCCTTTTCAGCAGTGGCCCCCGGCTATGGAACGCCCTCCCTAGAGAGATTAGATCTGCTCCTTCCCTCTTAACATTTCGGAAGCAAGTCAAAACGTGGTTGTTTGAGCAAGCGTTCACAAACGCAGAGTAACGGATATGGATAAATGATATAGGAAATTGATTATTGACGATGGAATCGGACAATGCTTGACAATAAGGAGACGCCAATGATGTTGTTGTGGTTGTTGCTGTGGTTTACGTAATTGTAATGTTTTTAAATTGTATTGTGATACTATGTATACTGTTTTGTTGGAAACCGCCTTGAGTCGCCGATAGGCTGAGAAAGGCGGTATACAAATACAGCAAATAAATAAATAATAAATAAATAACGAAAAAGCAACTGTACAGGAGTTGATTATAAATTGTATGATTTTAACTGTATTTGTGTTTAGATTGGCTGCAGTAAGGCTGGAGCGGCCTAAGTCAGAGGAGTCCTCCATGTGCGTTGCCATGGAGACCGATGCAGGAGAGAGGGAAGTGGGAGGAGCTTAGAGGGGAGAGTTTGAAAAAACAACAGTTAAAAGTCAGTTAGGGTTTAGGTTTAGAGGAGTGAGCAGTCCAGGTTTAGGTTCAGAGGAGTCAGGAGTTAGGAGTTGGGAGAGAAGGAAAGGAAAGGTGGCGGAGTGACTTGTGAAGCAAAGCTTTGAGGCTTTGAAAAGCTGGGTTTGGCTATTGGAAGTTTCTCAGGCTAGTGCAGCCGAATGGTGAAACATAGCTGGTATTCTTTTAGTCTAAGGAGAGGCTAAAGAATAGTTTACTTAGTATTTGATCTAGGGAGGATCAAACAAGGGAAACATCCCTGTATTGAAACTTTGTCTGAAACAAGTGCTCTACGTCAGAAAGATACTGTGTTACTTGAAAGAATGAACTGTTAAAGTTACAAGTATTATTCCAAGTGCAACAAGGAAAAGTTACGTCTTGCAACCACACGCTGTGTACTTAATAAAATTGTTAACTTTTATTTGAAGATTGCCTCAGCTCCGTCTATTCTGTGTCCAAAGTGCCATTTCTCACAATATTACAACTTACCTCACGTGGTGGCAGAAACATAGGGAAAAGTAACCAAATAAATCTACATTCTTCTCTCCAGTCACGCTACAGTATATACAGTGTAATTACTACTAAGTTATTACTTTCTTAATAAAGGAGGAGGTGCAATTGAACAGCCTCCCTTCCAACTTGATGGTAAATTTGGTTCCTAATCGGCAACCTCCATTGCAAATCGGCCAGTTCTTTTTAAAATTGGGAACTGGGGTAAAATCTCCTGAATACTGGTTCCTTTCAAATTGGTGGCAACAATAAATCATCCCTCAGCTCCCCTGCTTCTTTTCAGTAACCAAAATTTCGTTATATTGTTACAATACAGACCCCTTACGATACTTTAGAAACACTTTAGAAACACTCAGTTTGGGTTTTTTCGGGCTATATGGCCATGTTCTAGAGGCATTTTTCCTGACGTTTCGCCTGCATCTATGGCAAGCATCCTCAGAGGTAGTGAGGTCTGCTGGAACTGGGAAAAAAGGGGTTTATATATCTGTGGAATGACCAGGGTGAGACAAAGGCTTTTGTAAGTTGGGCTAGGTGTGGATCTTTCAACTGACCACCTTGATTAGCATACAATGGGCTGACTGTGCCTGGAGCAAACTCTTCTTGAAAGGTGATTAGATGTCCCTGCCTGTTTTCTCTCTGCTGTTTTTGCTGTTGCAATTTTAGAGTTTTTTAATACTGGTAGCCAGATTTTGTTCATTTTCATGGTTTCCTCCTTTCTGTTGAAATTGTCCACATGCTTCTTGTGGATTTCAATGGCTTCTCTGTGTAGTCTGACATGGTGGTTGTGAGAGTGGTCCAGCATTTCTGTGTTCTCAAATAATATGCTGTGTCCAGGTTGTTTCCTCAGGTGCTCTGCTATGGCTGACTTCTCTGGTTGGAGTAGTCTGCAGTGCCTTTCATGTTCCTTGATTCGTGTCTGGGCGCTGCGTTTGGTGGTCCCTATGTAGACTATGTCCACAGCTGCATGGTATACGGTAGACTCCTGCAGAGGTGAGAGGATCCCTCTTGTCCTTTGCTGAACGTAGCATTTGTTGGATTTTCTTGGTGGGTGTGAGTGGTTTGTATGTTGTGTTTCCTCATCAGCTTCCCTCTGCGATCAGTGGTTCCCTTGATGTATGGCAGGAACACTTTTCCTCAGGGTGGATCTTCATCTTGACTCTCGTGGCTTCTTCTCGGTTGTCTTGCAGCTCTTCTGATGTCTGAGGTGGAGTCTCCATTGGCCTGGAGAGCCCAGTTGAGGTGGTTCAGTTCATCTTGGAGGAGGTGGGGTTCGCAGATTCTTTTTGCACGGTCTGCCAAGGCTTTAATGGTGCTTCTTTTTTGACTTGGGTGATGGTTGGAGTTTTTATGTAGATATCTATCTGTGTGTGTGGGTTTTCTGTAGACGGTGTGACGCAATTGTTGATCTGGTTTGCGGATGACTAGGACATCTAGAAAAGGCAGTCTTCCTTCATTTTCTTTTTCCATGGTGAACTGGATGTTTGGGTGGATGCTGTTAAGATGGTCCAGGAACCTGTTGAGTTCTTCTTCTCCATGGCTCCAAATGGTGAAAGTGTCATCCACATATCTGAACCATATCGTGGGCTTTTTGGTTGCTGTCTCCAGGGCTTGTTTTTCAAAGTGTTCCATGTAGAAGTTAGCTATGACTGGGCTGAGAGGGCTCCCCATAGCTACTCCATCTTTCTGTTCGTAGAATTCATTGTCCCACTGAAAGTAGCTGGTGGTGAGGCAATGGTGAAACAGAGCCGTGATGTCTTCTGGGAACCTCTGGTTGATGAGTGCCACGGTGTCTGCTGCCGGGACCATGGTAAATAGAGACACCACATTGAAGCTGATCAGTTTGTCGTTGGTATTTAACTTGAGATTGCTGATTTTTTCAATGAAGTGGGCTGAGTCCTTGATGTAGTGTGTTGTGAGCCCAATGTGGCTTTGTAACTGTGCAAAGCCACAAGAAATTTTGCTAGGTCGTATGTGGGGGATCCAATGGCACTCACGATGGGTCTGAGTGGGGTGGAGTCCTTATGGATTTTTGGGAGTCCATAAAGCCTGGGTGGATGGGCTTCCGATTTACATAGCTGTTGTCGTATGTCAAAGTTTATTGAGGAGTTCTTAATCAGAGTGTTGGTTTTCCTGGTTATTTTGGCAGTTGGGTCTTGCTTAAGTTTTTTGTATATAGTAGGGTCCAGGAGTTTTCTGATCTTCTCCTTGTATTGTGGCATTCCCCTTGTCTGCTGGCAGAATGAGGATATCAGGATCTGAATTCAGTTCTCTGATGGCTTGTCTTTCCTTCCTAGTAATGTTACTGGAGGGAAGCTTTGCCTTTTTCAGGATCCTTGCTGTTTCTGCTCGTACTTCTTCTGCTTCCTCCTCGGGGAGGCGATAAATGGCTGATTCAACATTGGCAATGATGTTTTCTACTGGGATCCTGGTGGCGGTTACAGCAAAATTTCCTCCTTTCGCTAGTATGGAGACTTGGTCTTCAGAGAGTTGTCTGTCTGTCAGGTTGATGATGGTCCGTGATGTATCCAGTTCTGGTTTCGGCTGTTGCTTTTGGCGTTTGTGGAATTTTTGTTTTTGTCTGTTGGTGTGGACAGCCATGTTTTTCTCCATTTTCCTGTAAGTGAGGTTGTCTATTTTGTCCCAGTCCTGGGAATTCATCTTCTGGCTGATGTTGTTTGTCAATGCGGCACCAAACGAAAACCTGTAATTCATGGTGGCCCAGCTGTGTTTCATTTGCAGGAAGAGCACGCTGACCTGTTTTGGTTAAGTCGCCTTTTTTCGCCCATTCCAGAGCTGTTCACATATTAGCATGAAACAATTACTTTCTTCCTAGAAGACAAGTGGACTTCAGTCCAGGGTAAAGACGGAGTAAGTGAGCCATTTGGGACGTTTGTCCTGAACTCACCCCACGAGGCCCGGCGTTCGGAGACGCACGGATTTTTCCATTTCTCCGGACAAGTTAATTTGGAAGTCAGTAACCGGAGGCAAAGTAACCGGGAGGTCATTCTCAATCTCTACTAACCTGGCTTTGGAAAAGGCCATGGGTTCGCCTTTCTATAATCCACAGTCTTAGATTCAAAAACCAGACAACACATTTCGCACATTATCGGAAGACGGGATTAAGAAATTGCGAAAGACGTGTAAGTGAGTAAAAGCACAGGCGGTGACAGCGCAGTTTGATTTCAACCCTGCAAACGTGTACTCTTACGGCCCATCCACACATTAGCTTTATCCTAGGACAGTGTCTCTCAACCTTCCTAATGACACAACCCCTTAATACAGTTCCTCCTGTTGTGGTGACCCCCAACCATCACATTACTTTCGTTGCTACTTCACAACTGTCATTTTACTCCTGTTATGAATCGCCATGTAAATATCTGATATGCAGGATGTATTTTCATTCACTGGACCACATTTGGTACAAATACCCAATACGCCCAAATCTGAATACTGGTGGGGTTGGGGGGGATTGATCTTGACATTTGGGAGTTGTAGTTGTTGGGATTTATAATTCACCTACAATCAAAGAGCATTCTGAACTCCACCAACGATGGAATTGAACCAAATTTGGCACACAGAACTCCTTTGATCAACGGAAATTACTTAAATACTGGAAGGGTTTGGTGAGTGTTGACCTTGAGCTTTGGAGCTGTAGTTCACCTACATCCAGAGAGCACTGTGGACTCAAATAATGAAGGATGTGGATCAAACTTGGCACACAGACAAAATATGCACAAATATAAACACTGGAGGAGTATGCGGAAAATAGATCTTAATATTTGGGAGTTGCAGTTGCTGGGATTTCTAGTTCACCTAAAATCAAAGAGCATTCTGAACTCCACCAACGATAGAATTGAACCAAACTTGGCAAACAGGACTCTAATGACCAACAGGAAATACTGGAAGGGTTTGGTGAGCATTGACCTTGAGTTTTGGAGTTATAGTTCACCTATATTCAGAGAGCACTATGGACACAAAGAAGGATAGATCAGTACCAGTCTTGGCATGAATACTCAATGTACTCAAATGTGAACACTGGCGCCGTTTGGTAAAAATACACTTTGACATTTGGGAGTTGTAGTTGCTGGGATTTATAGTTCACCTACAATCAAAGAAAATTCTGAACTCAACCAACAATAGAATTGGACCAAACTTCCCACACAGAACCTCCATGAGCAACAAAAAGTACTGGAAAGGTTTGGTAAGCATTGACCATATATGGCCATGTTCTAGAAGCATTCTCTCCTGATGTTTCGCCTGCATCTATGGCAGGCATCCTCAGAGGTTGCCCAGTGTGGAACACATCTCACCACACTAAAACAGTGGATGTGGCTCTTAATGAGACATGCCGCATTATCACGGGATGTCTGCACACTACACCACTGGAGAAATTACACTGTCTAGCCACCTGTCGTACCACCTGACATCTGCCGGGAAGTAGCAGCCAATAGTGAAAGGACCAAGGCAGAGACATCTCCAGCTCATCCCTTGTTTGGGCATCAGCCAGCACATCAACGACTTAAATCAAGAAATAGTTTTGTAAGATCTACAGAGACACTCGCTGGAACACCTCAGCAAGCGAGAGTCCAAAAGTGGCAGGCTCAAACCCAGAGCCTCAACCAATGGCTGATACCAAATGAGAGACTCCCCCCTGGGCACACAGAAGACTGGGCAACTTGAAAGGCGCTGAACAGACTGCGCTCTGGCACCAAGCCTCCCCACACTTTAAGGTGGTACCAATTTTCCTACTTGACAGATGCAACTGTCTTTTGGGTTGCAAAGGTCGACAACAGGTTACACACAATTGGTTGGAAACCCACTCCAACCCGGACTGGCTTCGAACTCATGGACCAAACTTGGCACGAATACTCAATATGCCCAAATGTGAACACTGGCGGAGTTTGGGAAAAATACACCTTGACATTTGAGAGTTGTAGTTGCTGGGATTTATAGTTCACCTACAATCAAAGAGCATTCTGAACCCCACCAACAATAGAACTGGACCTAACTTTCCACACAGAACCCAGATGATCGACAGAAAATACTGTGTTTTCTGAAGGTCTTCGACGACCCCTTTGACACCCTCTTGTGACCCCCCCCAGGGGTCCCGACCCCCAGATTGAGAAACGCTGGTGTAGATGATGATGATGAGTGCATTTGACTATCTTCCAAGCAGCCGACGAAAACAAAGGCGCTCTGCAGCATCTGAAACAGGCCTTGCGGGAAAGTGGGTCACTGGGTTTGGTTGCCTAGCGCCGCGTAGGGAGCTGTGTGAACAACAGGCTTTGCATGCACACACGCACACATACACATTCCCCATGCTTAAGTAGGCTGAAGCCTTTCTCTCGTAGTATTCAAGGAGACCGAATCCAGCAGCACCTTCAAAATGATGGCTCTAAGAGTGAGCGTTTATGGAGATCAATCTCCAACTTCAGATGCCTTGAGCATCAAAGCCATGGCCTCTGAAGCACAATAATGGGTTGCCATGGATGCCGAAGCATCGTAATGGGTTACACAATGATGCAAACCGTGGCCGTTCGTCTTCAAAAGTCAGCATGAGATCATATGAGTCTTTCAAGTGGCTGGGAGTCATCTTGAAAGTGGTCTCCTTTGCATCGATGCATCAAAGCAACAGATGCGATTGCACGCAGATCTCTCATGCAAGCACGCTTCTCTTGGTTGTTGTAGGTTTTTTCAGGCTATATGGCCATGTTCTAGGGGCATTCTCTCCTGACGTTTCACCTGCATCTATGGCAAGCATCCTCACAGGTAGTGAGGTCGAGTATACTTGCCATAGATGCAGGCGAAACGTCAGGAGAGAATGCTTCTAGAACATGGCCATATAGCCTGAAAAAACCTACAACAACCCAGTGATTCCAGCCATGGAAACCTTCGACAATACAACACTGTAAGCATCCCAACTAATAATAATATGATATTATAATTATATATTTATATTACATGTAATACTACTAATACTATTACAATATAATGGTAGAGTACAATATAGTAATATTTAATACTGATATTGTCCTATGCTAATAATGTAAGATATTGTATGTGTATATATATATATATATATATATATATATATATATATATATATCTTGTAAGCCACTCTGAGTCCCATTCGGGGTGAGAAGGGTGGCACATAGAATGATAGAATCCTAGAATCAAAGAGTTGGAAGAGACCTCCTGGGCCATCCAGTCCAACCCCATTCTGCCAAGAAGCAGGAATATTGCGTTCAAATCACCCCTGACAGATGGCCATCCAGCCCCTGTTTAAAAGCTTCCAAAGAAGGATCCTCCACCACACTCCGGGGCAGAGAGTTCCACTGCTGAACGGCTCTCACAGTCAGGAAGTTCTTCCTCATGTTCAGATGGAATCTCCTCTCTTGTAGTTTGAAGCCATTATTCCATTGCATCCTAGTCTGCAAGGAAGCAGAAAACAAGCTTGTTCCCTCCTCTCTGTGGCACTTTAGTCGCCTTCCTCTCATGTATTTATACATGGCTATCATGTCTCCTCTCAGCCTTCTCTTCTTCAGGCTAAACATGCCCAGCTCCTTAAGCCGCTCCTCATAGGGCTTGTTCTCCAGACCCTTGATAATTTTAGTCGCCCTCCTCTGGACTCATTCCAGCTTGTCAATATCTCTCTTGAATTGTGGTGCCCAGAATTGGACACAATATTCCAGGTAAAGTGGTCTAACCAAAGCGGAATAGAGCATGGGGAGCATGACTTCCCTAGATCTAGACACTATGCTCCTCTTGATGCAGGCCACAGTCCCATTGGCTTTTTTGCCGCCACATCACGGTTGCCGTAATGATGAGCATCAACATAGCGTTTTTACTTTGGTTTCTCCAAGAGTTAATTCTTCTGGAATTCTGTGTAGCCAGAGAAAACTAAGTCTTAGTTGGAAAAGGGAAATTGGAAAAGACAATGGCTCTTAAAGGTGGGAATTCTCCTTCTGTCGAAGGCAGAAAGCTCTGGAAAAGGGGAATGCCCCTGATTTGGAATTACGTATTATTTATTTATTTACGACATTTCTATGCCGCCCTTCTCACCCCGAAGGGGACTCAGAGAGGCTTACAAGATATATATATATATACATACAATATCTTATATTATTATAGTACAATATCAGTATTAAATATTACTATATTGTACTTTACCATTATATTGTAATATTATTAGTAATATTACATGTAATATAAATATATAATTATAATATATTATGATTAGTTGGGATGCTTGCAGTGTTGTATTGTCGAAGGCTTCGATGGCTGGAATCACTGGGTTGTTGTAGGTTTATTGGGTTATATGGCCATGTTCTAGAAGAGTAAACAATCAGGCACATCTAATCACCTCTCAACAAAAGATTCCCCCAGGCACTGCCAAGCCATCAAATGCTAATTAAGGTGGTCAGAGATATGGGGGAGATATGATATCCAGCCATGTATAAATATGTGAGAGGAAGCCACAGGGAGGAGGGAGCAAGCTTGTTTTCTGCTTCCTTGGAGACTAGGACGCAATGGAACAATGGCTTCAAACTACAAGAGAGGAGATTCCATCTGAACACGAGGAAGAACTTCCTGACTGTGAGAGCCGTTCAGCAGTGGAACTCTCTGCCCCAGAGTGTGGTGGAGGCTCCTTCTTTGGAAGCTTTTAAACAGAATCTGGATGGCCATCTGTCAGGGGTGATTTGAATGCAATATTAGGTCTCTTCCAACTCTTTGATTCTATGATTCTAACTCTAAAAAGCAACGGGAGGCTGAGTCGGAGCATGGAAAAACAAATGGACAAAGCTGTTTGAATCAACATCTTTGGAATTCCAAGACTGAGAGAGAAGAGATCAAAACAAACACCCGTTGTCTCACCCTGAAACTGCAATTGCATCAAGTTAAGAGCAGCTGCTGACTTTTTCTTTCCATCATCATCCTTATTATCATCCTTATTATCATTCTGCCAAGTATTTTCCTCAGTTTCCTAGGCCCTTTCCACACAGCTGTATAAAATCTGGAAGTTTGGACTCAGGGTGCTTCCAGACAGCACCAAA